TTAGATGTATTCGACAAAACCTTTGTTTCGAAATTTTTGGGTCCGCATTGCCTTTCAACTTCCTACTTTATTTGGCCTGTTCAATAACTTTATTCGCTGATGAGTCTTTTGTAGACTAAACTCGCGTCTGGCGTACAACATTTTAATTCTGGTGTCTTTATATATCTACATATATTTTTATATAAATTGGTTTCTTTGAGAGTATGTAAAAGTATTCATAAAACTTCTGAAAATAAGATATTCTTCAAAACCAAATTTTCCTGTGGAATATTTGGGTTGATTAAAGTAACTTCAGAAAATCCTTAAAATTTGAGATGTTTTTTGAGACCAAAATAAGTGTCAGTATTTAAGAGGTCCCAATGAAATTGGTGTGTAAATCTCAAGATTTACGAAACCTTCTGATATAAGTTGAATGCCACAGGGTTTCACTTCACATGGCAATTGGAATTTACATTTATCTATACAACATCTACCATGAGTACAGACAGTTTCAATAACGAGTATAAGAATAATTGAAGGTATCCAGGAAACAAAAAATGAAGATATGATAGATAAAATGCATCCAGATTATGACGCAAACTGAGTGCTTAAATTCATATTTCGATTGGTTTGTGCAATTTGCATTAGATATCCGGTTTGCAGAAACTGGGATTTGCAATAGAATTAAGACAAAATTATATACACAATTTTTTTATGACCAGTCAGCAGGCTCGGGTTCACGTATTGCTTCTTTTTTTTTAAAGAAAGCAACTTGTTTTTCAATGCTGTTATATATGGTATATATTTCAAAATTGAGCCATCTGTATCTTAAGCTTGCTTGCAGTAGCTACGAGCATTCTTTTATTTTTTTTGTGATTGTATTTTATAATTTGACCCTTTTCAATAAGTTAGGTACTTGTCACTGATTTTTTATGTTTTTTTTTTTGTTGCTATGTACCTTTTGTAACTCCACTGCTCGGGATTAATTTGGGTTGAGATTTCGAGAAACCCCGCCAAAATTCGGTGTTGATTTGCAGAATTTTTAAGGTGATTAAAACTTTTCATTTATTTTGATTACGGGACGTTTTAAATAAAAATAGTTTGTCATACTTTAACGGCACTGCCTAAATTTGAAGGCGGTATGTTTTGTTGAAATTAATATATGTAAGCGTTATCAGTGCCGTCGGGTTGCTGTATCATTGTCGTACATCCAACATCTCTATTTTTTCACATTACAAAAAAAAACAGTTGGAAAGTGAGAAAAGTCAAAACATGATCAAATAACCCTTTGAAGATCTTTTTTATCAGATGCTTGTTACATATCTGACGATTTCAAGAGAAAAAAAAACAATGGTTGAGACGTTTCTGTTAATTTAATAATGTATAATGTTATCAATCCCTGAATACACAAGACTTATCATAAAACCAGACAGAGTGTCTTAATTTTTCTTAGGCAATAGGAAAAAATGCTTTTTATTTGTTTGTCTTTTTCTTTTAATCCTACAACGTTATTTGCATTTTATTGCAAAGTTAAAACATCAAGATTGTATCTTTTAATTTATAACATATTTGACGACACGACACATTAACGAATTGTGTGTAGTCTATCAAACAGTGAAATCAAAAGCGTTTTTTTCACTTACAAATTGGCTACATTTTTATTGCTGTGTAGTAAGTGCTGTGAATGCCGTCGTGTATTACAGTCACCAATCATTTACATTCGATTTTTGTTTCAGTCTGTTTGAGTCGGATATATGAAATGTACAAATTAACATAGTAAACATAAATATCTTATGTGTAGGAATATTTGTGTTTACTTTACTGCCTAAATTCTTTCGAGGTGAGCCAAAGGGATCATTTGGTTATAGAAACATGATCACCGAGTATACTGTCTGTTAACCAATTACTCTGAGGGAGACGTCCGGTTGGCTGTGTGGGATGTATACGCAGCCACATCCATTAAAAAAGGGGATGTTACATCCAGAGTCTCGTGTATGGAATCTGCAGGTAAAAGAATCCTTGTTTAAAAATTCTTTAAGGTGTCCGTATGCGGCCTGTTGCAAAACACATTTCTTCCCTTTTTCAACATACCTTCTTTTTCAGAGACGTATTTATTTATCGCCCTTCATCCTGGTCGACCCACTTTGCAGAATTTAACTATTGGATTTTTTGTTTATTTGTTCTAGTCATGGATATGCATGAAATATTTGCCACAGGACGTTAAGCAAACGGGAGCAATAATATGTACACGAACCCGAAACATTGAAGAAGGGCACTAGAATCAGGTGAGGACCACATTTGTCTGAAGTTGTGAAAGAGTTTTTATATACTGAACGAATTTTATGTTGAGAACCAGTTTCAAAATTACAGTAAATATAAAAGTTACACTACCAATTCAAAACCCCTATATATTCAACCAAAGTTTTGATTTTCACAGCTCTCTAAATATTTTGCCTCAAGTTTAAATTTATGAAAACCATGTATATCCTGAATTATACATGTATCAACTTTCTACATGCCAATTTTCAACCATTTTTTAAAAATCTTAAATGATATAGAGATGAGCAGATGTAGTATGATAGCCAAGGAGACAACTATCCACAAGAATTAACAGGAATGGTAGTTAGCAATTATAGGCAACCTTACGGCCTTCAAAAATAAGAAAAAAAAATACCGTATAGTCCGCTATAAAATACCTATTATGAAAAACTTGAAACAATTCAAACATGAAATCCAACGCCTAGTTTAAAGAAATCAATAAACGAAAAACAGATATGACAGGCTAAACATGTTTGTGAGTGCCCAACCCTCCACCTAACCTGAGACAGTGGTGTAACAGCACAGCATAAGAACAAACTATTATATTAAAAAAGCAGTTGCAATTGGCTTAACTCAAAAACAATTAACATGAAAACAATACACACAAAGCATCAAAATAAGAGAACTGGCATTTGGCACAAGCCTGTTCAAAGCCAATTACAACTAATAGATACCAGTAAATCATTTTCTCCCAGACTAAAGAATGCACACATTTAGCACTGAAGCCAGTTTATACACACGTACGTTTTGGCTCAGAATTGTCAAAATATGTTTCTTATTCAGAAAACAGTTTCCTTCCTGTTAATTCATTTGCTAGTTTAAGAAACAACAACATCAAAAGCACATTTTTGTCAGAGAAGGGCTACTTTAACACGTGTTCTAAATGTGAGTGGATGATTGGTGGTGACCATGTGACACTTATTTGTCAGAGAAGGGCTACTTTAACACATGTTCTAAATGTGATTGGATGATTGGTGGTGACCATGTGACTTCTGTACGTCAGGAAAATAAACATATAAGATCTAGACGGTATAAATATACTGTATGCTCTAGCTGTAGCATAAAAAATTTTAAAATATAAGCATCCGATTTGGTGGTGTTACATCTTACAAAATCTATCCAAATTATTTTGCAAAGAATTTTGCTCAAGCCGGTGCTAGGGACCGTCTTAAACATGAAGTGAGGTGAGAGTTTTTTTTTTGCTCCGTGTTGAAGGCCTCATTGTGACTTTGAGACGAAAAACAGCAATAACAGCGCTGTTCCTTTGTATGTGTTTTTTGCTATGTGTCATGGATGGATACCCCATATCCTTTGTTTTTTCTATTAACCACGCTTTTTAACAATGTGAAGTAAATTCACTTATTAATGCTAATCGGGCCCCAACCCTTTTAGTGACATAGAAAAGAACACGTGTGAAATGTAGAAGAATAAATAAATGTATAGAGTGTGTTCTTATTTTTTTTTATAATTGTCCTCTTTTCAGTAGAAAATTACTTATCTTTTTATTGAACTAACCTTATCCATCATGCATCTACATTATATAAAGTTAAGTATTTGAAACTGCATATAATATAGATTTTTATAAACCACATGTACATTATTGTGTTTATTTACGCATTTGAAAATAAGAACCATTTATGCTGGCGGTGACAAGGTGCAATCTCCATATATTGACCCGAAACACTAAAAAACAATGACACAGGTTTCGAAGTATAAACATACGGGATGTCATTGCTACAAGTTAATAATATATAAATGAGGGTTCATCAGTTAATATATATCTAATTACATTTGTTTATAAAATCTTTCTACTCAAACTCACAGTTTTTCTTTCAAGGGTTGATACTAGTAAGTCATAAAATTTCCCTATTTATGAAAGATTAGGCGATTTTGCTCTGAATAACTCTGGTTTCAACACAACCAACGCGGGTTTAACGATCAAAAGTATTTTTAAAGAACTTTGTTTTCTTAGTCACTAAAAATATATGTGATTTAAATGGAATTTGAAAATGTAATGTGACTAAATGATCGTGTTTAAAGAACATTAACAGGAGGTATGTACAATCAGTCAACAAATACGCATAAAAATGGATTCATTATTCTGTGTTTTCTTTGGTAATCCGGCATTATGATTGTGAGTTTTCATCCTAACGCTGGGATTTACCAAAGAGAATCACAGAAGGATCTCCATTACAGTAAATCAGGGAGAGCTGTGGTATGTTATTTCTATAATGCGCATGAGCAGGTGAGTATATTAATTATACATGTCGTGATTGATGTAATGTAAACACGACATTAAGTTATCTGTTTTGTTGGGTTGCTGTCTCATTGACTTCATTTTAACCCAAAATCTAGAAACAAAAGTAATTACAATGTTAAAATTTTTCACGTTCTTTGTACTTGGCAAAAAGATATACCTGACTGAATTTAAAACTTATAGCTTATCTTTGGATTTTGTGTACAAATTACAAATTTCATTAACTGAAAATTTAACGAGAAGTCGCATGTAAAGCAAATGGTGAAAATGTGAATTAGAATGAAATGTAAATTTATGGTTTCCTGTTTTTTCCAACCATTCATTAAAAATGATTCAAAGTTTATTAAATAGCACTAATAATTTTATATATAATTCAATATAAAATATGGCATTTTGTGCAGTATATAAAAACTCTTTCACAACTTCAGATATATGTGGTCCTCACCTGATTCTAGTGCCCTTCTTCGATGTTTCGGTTTCGTGTACATATTATTTCTCCCGTTTGCTTAACGTCCAATGGCAAATATTTCATGCATATCCATGACTAGAACAAATAAACAAAAAATCCAATAGTTAAATTCTGCAAAGTGGGTCGACCAGGATGAAGGGCGATAAATAAATACGTCTCTGAAAAAGAAGGTATGTTGAAAAAGGGAGGAAATGTGTTTTGCGACAGTCCGCATACGGACACCTTAAAGAATTTTTAAACAAGGATTCTTTTACCATCTGTTTTTGATTTAAGTATATTTATGGCATTGTGTCATGTGAAAGCAAGAAAAAAGATCCGACTTCTTTCTAATAAAAAGCAGAATTCATAAACATTATCATCTGTGACCCTTTTCACCAAAAATCTTACGATTAAAATTGACCGTAAGTTACAATTGTATACTGAAATGTGTATGACTTACAAGTATTTTTACTCTTAAGAATTTTTGTGAAAAGAGTCGCTGCATTACGCTTGAATAATTGTTGCTGGACGTCGATCGTCCATTTCATCGTAATTTTATATATATAAATGTAATATGTATAAAGATAAGAAAATGTGGATACCAATGAGACAACTCTCCACCAAATGACTAGAATCAGTTGAATGTTGGGTAACTTAAGTCCGCATGCCATTGGTTAATTTTAATCGGCGAGTAAGGGTGCTGTTGAATTAGTAAAGTTTTTGGTAATCCGGCTTTATGGTGTGGAACATATTCAGCATATTGCTTGTGGTTACCATGGAGTTTACTGAAACTCGTGAGCATTATGGTTTTCCGGTATTAGTTTTTAGTAATACCAGTATTAGCTTTTAGTACCGGTTACCAAATTCAATATAATTTTATTATGGATGATGAGCTTGGCAATGTGTTCAATGAATAATTGTATATAAAACACCTATCTTTGTGTTTTGTATAATTACCAAAAAAAGAAACATGCGTGTTTGGATTTGTTTAGTTTTTAGCTGGGCTTGGTTTGGTTTTCCTACTTTTTTATCACTTTATATTGTGCTTACTTATCCTGTTGATAATTGGGTAATGTCTCCAGCAGTTCGACATTTCTTGATTGTTTTCATGAAACAATGTAATTGATTATTTTTTTTTCTGTGCTTATTGGATGCAAGCAAGTCTATCAGATAGAATTAATGTTTGTCATGATTAATTAATATCAAAAATTAACAAATAGCTGAGCAGGCAATGATGGAAAGGTGTCAGTGTTTAATTTTATAGGAAAGTTGCATGATAAATTTTCATTAGTCCCGAATTTTAGAATTGCTAGATAACGATTAACGATTCATTCTGCAAATTGCGTCACGTGACAGTTTTATGCGATGAAAAATCAGATCATAACAGGTAATTTTAAAACATTAAAGCGTCTTTGAAGTGTAATATTGAAATATATTATACAAAAAGAAATTGTATGGTAAAGAAAGTCTAAGTCGTCGATTTTTTAAAAGAACATTTTAAATGATTTAAAAGTCCATGCTTGACAAGATGCACGATGTGCCCTTCAATGTACTTTTCAGTCTTCTTCAAAGTAGAAGAAGAAAGTGCGATTATGAACTGATAAAACTACATACCTGGTTCTGTATGTATATCGGCAGTCAAGCTGTTAAAATTATCTACCTTTGCAATGTTTTAATGAATTTCAGTTTCTCGATCACTTATTAATCGGAAGTTCAATCTAAAACTTTGCATAAATAATTCGGAAAAACTGCTGAAGATAGTTTTGCAATGAATTTTACCTTAACTTAAACAAACATATCTCAAAGTCACAGAAAGGCCTTTAACATGAAGCAAAAACTCTCACTTTACTGTATCTTGTTTAAGGGATACATCGTACCGCTACTTTGTAAAAATCACTCTGATTCAAACAAAATATTCTCCAAAATTTCCATTATCAAGATGCTTTATTTTTTCATTGACAACATATTTGTTACGTTTGGAGGACGTGTTTTTCAACACACAATCTGCATTCCCATAGAAATTAACTGACTGTGCTCCTCTTCTTGTCGACGTGTTCCTTTATTCATATGAGGATACTTCATACAGCATCTTCTTAGGAAGAATCAAACGAAGATAGCATTATCGTATAACGTCACGTTCCGCTTTAAAGATGATGTCCTCTCACTGAATAATTCAAAGTTTGGTGACCATGTCGACCGCATCTATCCCATTGAACTTGAAATAAAGGATACAACAGACACAGTTAAGTCTGCCTCATATCTTGACTTACAGCTAGAAATTATCAATGAGGGTCGGTTAAGAACAAAACTTTACGATAAAAGAGATGATTTAAGCTTCCCAATTGTGAACTTTCCATTTCTATGTAGCACCATTCCAGTAGCGACTGCATATGGAAATGAGAATGGAAACGGGGAATGTGTCAAAGAGACAACAACCCGACTAAAGAGCAGAAAAGAGCCCATGGCCCTCAATTGGTATTCAATGCAGCGAGAAAATCCCGATACAGGCGGGTTTCAGCTGGCCCCTTAACAAAAATGGATACTAGTTCAGCAAAATGGACGCCGCTCTAAACTCTGAAGGATATAATGGAACCAGAATTTAAAAATAAGACAACAAGACTTACAAAGGCTAGAGATTTTTGACTTGGGACAAGCACAAAAATGCAGTGGGGTTAAACATGTTTTCTGAGATCTCATCACCCCTATATCTATAGCCAATGTGGAATAAACAATCACACAGCATTACGCACAGTGATATAAAACCTAGTTAAAAAGAAGTCCGTTTCCGAGATTTTAGAATAGGTAACAGAAGAATCTATTTAACAAAATGACAATGATCAACATTATTAATCAATATTAATTCCAAAAAAATGTCATCTTTAATGACTTGACAACAGTATCGTAACAATATACCTTGTAAATAAGCCTATTTAAAGGTTTGGTTAGCTTTTGAGGTGAATGTGTCTCCCAGTTTATACGATAGTCCAGAGTTTGCATTTCCTATCACGATTAGTTCGTTGACCGTTATGGAAAATCTGTTTTTTCCTCGAATATAACCTAATTAGACTTATCATCGGGTGTATACTTATCAATAAGAAGATGTGGTACAACAACAACAACAATTTTTATTTGTCAATCAAGACGCCCCGAGGAGCAGTACAATTACAGTTTAAATTAAAGTGTACAAATAATTGTGGTGAAATTTTTCATTGAACTATTTGAAATTACAATACATGACAATAAATTTAAACTAAAACTATGTAGGAGAAGGGAGACAACAAACACAGTATATTCCCAAAGATAATGAGTGAGTGAACACAATCAGTACCGTTGTATTATTAGAGAAGAGCTGGGGCTACTCATGTTTTGTCACTTAATTTGATATGAGTGTCAATGAGACAACTCTCCATCCAAGTCACAATGTATAAAAAGTTAACAATTATAGGTCAAAGTACGGTATCCAACACGGAGCCTTGGCTCACACCGAACAGCAAGCTATAAAGGGTCCCAAAATGACTAGTGTAAAACAATTCAAGCAGGAAAACCAACGGTCTAATCTATATAAAAAAAAAGAGTAATGAGAAACACTTATGAACCACACCCAACAAACGACTACCACTGAACAACACGCTCCTAACTTAGGACAGGTAAATAAAAATGCATCGGGTTTAAACGCTTTAACAGGCGCCAACCTTCACCCTAACCTGAGATAGTAGTGAAACATTACAACATAAAAAGACACACTATAAAATATCAATTGAAATGGCTTAACTCGATCAAAAAGACATTTAAACAAAAACAAGTAAACATACGCTGAACGAATAAGTTTGATCTATGACATTATATAAATACAATATTAATAAAAAAAAAGATGTAGGAACAGTGTCAAAAAGACAACTCTTACCTAGGACAAAATATCGTTGAATAAAACAACGTACACATGTAAATTTGAATATAATAATTTTGTTGTTAGGAGTACGGAAGTATACATTTTTTTACAAAATTAATAAATTTGTTGTACTCAGTACGAGTACAGAAGTGCCCGGAAAATTTATCGTCATACTGAATACTTATCAAAGGTGGTACATATTAAAAATAGTGAGACGAGAGATAACACAAAATAAGTAAATATTGAATACAGAAATGCATTACAAATTGTGTCAACAGGTCAAATTGAATCAAGCGTTTTTCATGATAAAGTTAAAGTCATATTTTTGAAAGATTAACTGACGCCAGGAGTATATAAGTTCATCTCTGGCTTTCGAGTTGATTCAGTGTCCAACTATTAGTTATTTTTGTAATGTTTTGTAGATAGATGTTAGTTACAAAAGTGAAACTGATTATTTTTGCAACTTTGAGATGGAGAACAGCAATAAAACCACTGTTCCTTTGTTTTTTTTCAATTTTTAAATTGTTTTAAATTTTAAAAATTTGTATAAACATTCAAATGTGGACAGAGCCGCGTTTTTGCTGTTTTTGAGCAATTAGTCTGATATTTTTAGAGAGTCCTTGCCACAATGAAAACAAAAAGTGTTGTCGTTGTCATTAATAGGTACAGTTTAATGTTATAGAGTGAGACAAAAAAATAATAACAATGCATATGATTTTATCAAAATTTAAGCCCTGAAAAAGTGCCCGTTTTTATAAAAAAAAAAAACCGCCCATATGCGGTTTTGAACTGATTGAATGATTTTCGGGTTTCAGAAATCCATAGAGAACTACAGTAGAGGAGCGAACTTAAATTATCGTTTTCTATAGCATGCGGTCTGAACTAGAGGAATCTGCAATATAAAAATAGTATATATCCGAAATTATATAAATAATAATCAAAACGGATAAAACAGACGATTATTTAAAAAGTTTCCCAAATGTGACAAAATGGTACGTTTAAACTGTACTAAGATCAACAAGCACTTGTTGAGAAGAAGAACTCTTTTGTGTTAGAGTTGCCAAGGGACGATGTAAACAATATGGAGGTCGTTTAATTACATTATTTAGTAAACGTAGGTATTTTGATACGTTGGCATTTAAATATTAATTGTGGTAGGTAAAGAAATTGTGATTTCCAATATTATAACAGGAAACATTATGAAGTTTTCACGGCAAAGCTAAATAAGTGAAAAAACACTTATTTTTCAAGGGTAGGTAAATAGGGTAGCGCAAGATATCTCGGCCTACAACAAACTCGACCTATATCAAACTCGACCTTAACAATTTCGAACTATAAGTTATTATTAATTTTTTTTCTTACAAAAATGCTTATTATTATCGCAAATGCATACTTAAAGTTACTCTATACAATTTGTAGAGAGGTCTACAGAAAGGACAGAGGCCAAGGAATACAAGGTATTAAGGGCATACGATACAGTTACAGGGGAGTTAATGACGTCGCTAACGTAAAATGTTGTTTTTCGCAACGTCAAACTGTGACATATTGGGAAAAGATGCATTTTCCGACTGATTTTTATCATTCAGACTGATTTAACTTGAAAACAAGTTCATGGACCCCTCTTTTTAAAAATGAAATTTGATTTGATTATGTGTAAAGATTATTTGTGCCATTTTTTAAGAACATTTCACCGATGAATTTTTTAAAAATTAGATAAATATAGATAAAAAATTGCCGTTTCTTGACTAAAATCATGAAAATATAATAACAATTTATTATTTCCAAAGATTTGTGTAACAAATCAAAGCACAATTATGCAGAGAAGATATTCCAAATGTTTTTACAAAAATCCGTTTGCATTTATCTTTTGAAACAAAAAAGTTAGATGTGTCTTTCTAAAGTTAGATATGTCCAAGAAACCAAAATTTCCAGTAAATGTCAAAAATTTCGACCCCATTTATCTCTAAAAGTAATACATGAAGGTATATTTTTTATTACATATTTAAATTGACTAGGTGTAAAATAGCTTGCATGCAAACTTTCGTCAAAAATTCACCGTGGGATCAAAACTGTATCCTATGCCCTTAAATATAAAACAACTGTTATCTGTATGTATCTATCTTTATTGTATTTCTACACCATGATTTACCTGGGAAATAATAAATCTATAATCCAAGCTGCGAAAAAAAAATTCATTTCATGTCTTACAATTCACACTTCATCGTTTTGACTAATTCCAAGCTGACTAATAAAATCTTAATACCATTAAAAGTAATATTTTGTTATAAAAGTAAGGCAAATAGATTCAATAGGCAAATGATCAACCCAGGGTGAACATGTACATTTGTACATGTAGTAAGGGCGATCAGACAGAAATGCCAAATGTTTCACGTCTTTACACTAAATCCATGGGATTTCCCTTGTACTGATTGATACTTTAGTCTTGGAGAACATGATTTATTTATTAGTTGTAATTGACTTTGAACTAGCTTTCAATAACTGTGAGTACTCTTATTTTAGTACTTTGTGTCTAATGTTTTTGTGCCTCATACAGAGTTGTACCAATCTTTTGACTTGAGACTATTGCTGCTGATTTTTACACTTTGTGTTTATAATTATGTTGTGCTGTTACAGTTTGAGCGGCATTGACCCCTCTGTTTTCTTTTATACATTCTGTGTTCAATTTTATTTTCAGTGAATTTCAGTTTTTTCAATTTATTGTGTACATGTATGTCAACTTATTTTCACTTACATTTTTTACATCTCAATAGGGTACCTTTGTAAATAATTTTTTTATAGACTGACAAATATGATGTGATATGATTGCCAATGAACTATAGGTCACCCGTACAGCCATCAACGGTGAGCAAAAACAAATACTGAATAGAAAGCTATGATAAAAGGTGCCAACATTACAAAAGGTAAAACAACGAGAAAACCAAGAGTCTGCTCTTGTACAAAGCTAAAATGAAAAATGTTTATGATATTGATAGACAGCACCCAACAACAACCAATGAATTAAAGGCTCCTGACTTGGAACAGGCACATACAGAATATGGTGGGATTAAAAATGTTCATGAGTGCTCATCCATCCCTATAACCTGGGACAGTGGTGTAGCAGCACAATATAAAAGCTAATTGTTAAAATTAGTTGAAAAAGGCTTGAAGCATCAGATCAAAACAAAGAACAAAAATAAGTAACAAAAACAAAAAGTACTGATCTGAGAGTACTTGCAGTAAAAGGAAAGCTTAAGTTCCAAAAAAATGATCTTGTGGATTTAGTATAAAGACGTCATAGTACAAAATAGCGATGCAATGTCACATTCACTTGTTCTTTTCCTTATTATGCATGTAAAATTTCTGCTGGGCAATAAATTAAATTGAGAATGGAACCGTGGAATGTGTCGAAGAGACAACAACCCGACCAAAGAGCAGAAAATAGTCATGTATCCTTTGACAAACTTTATGGAACATTCTTTAACATATATATTTACAGAGTAAATCTTGATGATGAGTACCATGATTGACAGAGGAGCTACAATAGCTGCAGCTGTAGAGGTGGAAAAGTACTCCAAACAAGGGACAGAACTCTTACAAAGTGGTCATTTAACAAGTGCAGTTAAAGCTTTTAAATATGCCTACAAGTATGCTGGAGATCTGGATGATGAATACATGGAAAGAGCATGTGCATTTAATCTAGGTGCTGCTTATATTGCCATGGGTCAGGGAGAGAAAGGGTTGAATGTTCTTCAACAGGCTGTTCCCTCAGAAGACAGAAGAGATGGCAGATCAAATGGCGATTTGTACTTTAATTTAGGTCTTGGATATGAGACTACAAAAAATATCCCAGAAGCGATCCGTTATTTTAATAAAGCTTTGGATGAGTACCGTTATGAGAGGGACAACCTAGCCATGGAGATAGAAACATTGTCCAAACTGGCCACCTTATGTACTACAGTACAGAATCATCATTTAATGAACCTCTACCACCAGTTAGCTGAGGCATATGCAATGCAGGGCAATGTTGAGAAACAAATGTGGGCTTTATGTGAGAAGGCTAATTCCTACAACAGTTTTGGTGATCCTCAAAAGGCTGAATCTGCTGCTGATGAATGTTTGAAACTATCTGATAAATGTCAAAATACTGTGGAGTCAGGTATGAACACTACATGTATCTGGTCTTCAAAATATAAATTAATCCTGATAGTAATACAAGGAAGATAAATAAATTACAAAGATCTACATTATTTAAATGTTATATTAAAATATTTTTCTAATTCAAAAATGCTATTTATTTTTGATAAATAATTGGAAATTTAAAAAAAATGTTACTTAGAAAAGGTAGGGCCTTTATCATGAAACATTTGAAATAAACACATGTATGTTTTCTGCTTAAAAATTGCTTTGCAATGTAACATTCAAATGTACAATATTTTGTTACATCTAATTACAGGAAGCATATTTAATGACCTTGGTCTGCTGTATACCCAGCTTCAGAAATATGGCATGGCTGTCAAATGTTTTGAAGAAGCATTACCATTGGCTCAGAGCAGTGATGATAAAAAGAGAGAGGCTGTGATTCGTCAAAATTTAGGTGCTGCCTATAACTTTGTTGGAGAATACCAGAGAGCTATAAGCTTTCACAAATCAGCTGCAGATATGTATGGTAATTGAATTGTATATTTTTCGTAAGGGCATAAGATACAGTTTTGATCCCACGGGGAATTTTTTGTGGAAAATGGTCATACAACCTTTTTTTTACTTAGTCAATTCAAAAATATGTAATAAAAAATATACCTTCATGAGCTTCTTTTAGAGATAAATAGGGATAGTGCACGGATGAAATGAAAACACAATTAGCCATTTCATGATGAAACAACAATAAAAAAAGCTGATAAATTTAGCTTTTTACAAATTTGCACAAAACACAGTAAATAATGAGCTTCAAGCACAAAAACATGAAATTTGCAAACACGCTGCACAAAAATAACCCTTTACCTTCCCCTTGAAGGAATAAAAGTTTTGTACAATTATTTTTGTAGGAAAGTTTACAGAATTGTTTTACTTTAAGAAAAAAGGTTAGAATATGTAAATGTTGATACAAGTATTTTAAAAATTCCGTATTGTATGTCACTTGAAAAAGATACGGAATCTGGTGATTTGATTGGTTATAGTATACTAATTCACAACTGAGGCATTTTTGTTGTGCACACCAGTGCATATATATAGTGCATGCACCTTCATGCAGTGTGGGTAGTATAAATAGGGTCTGTAATGCTGTATCAACAATCACTTTTCTTTTGGGGCATACACTTCTAGTAAAGTTTCTAGTACAATTGTCTTGTTTTAAATAATTGAATAAATAGGAAAATGTAGTTTTAAGGCTTCCACTACAAGTAAGGTCTTTAGTACACTTGTCTTTTTTATTTAAAAAGCTAAGTCCAGTTTTAAGACTAGTTAAGTCTGAAACATGTGTCTTGAATTAAACAAAGAAAACTTAATATTTGATATACCTTTAGAAAGTAAAAGGTTAAAATAAATGGCAGACATTGCTAGTAATCTATCTAGTACAATCGTCATTCTACATTGTATCTTCAATTTGTATGAATTACTTATAATTTAAAATTCTTTAATTTCCGTACTTATATTGTCTTAATAAATCTTTTCTTATAACAAATTGCAAATTCACTTAAAACACTTTAAAAAAATAGGCATATGCTCTAGCACAGGGTTAGCTAGTATACTTTCTTGCGTACAAAACTATTATAAAGTTTTTCATTGTAAATTATGCTCTATAAGAAAGATTCAGTGCACCCTTCAATTTTTGACAATTTTCGGTGTGAGGCCTTTGCTTAATGCTCTGTACTTTTCAGAGCAAATATAACATGAAAATAGATCAAACAAAGTATTCATGTACTATTTCCTTTTTCTTACAAAATTGATACTTTTTATTTTAGCTCGTTTACAAAACCGTAATTCCCAGGGACAATGCTATGCCAATTTAGCATATGCCTACAGTCAGCTTGGTGATCTGATGAAAGCCAAACAAGCTTTTGATCATGCACTCTTAGCAGCTGAAGATACAGGTAAAAAGCGTTAAATAGAAAGAATGTTTTATAAAACTATTTGATTGTAAAGATTCATGTATCATGAGAGACAATCCACTGGAGCTGATAGCTATCAACTGTGAAAGTCATATGTAACTTTAAAAAATCTGGTCATCTTGTGTGTAAACCTTCACAAGGTCATTCTACTTAAGCTACTCATATAAAAGAAAAAAATGTTAGCAGCATAGTACAATACTGACTACATGTTGCACTACCCAGTCATCAAAATATTAAATTAATGTCTGACTCAAAAATGATTATTGAAAATGACATATCTTATGTATTAACTTGTTTTCTGTTTTGCTACGACTTCCTTATTTCATTTTCATCAAATAACATCACATGATAAAAAACTTTTTGGATAAGTGAACACTTTTTTGAATGATAAGAAATCAGTCATTAGTTCTGTGAATATTCATTAGAAATTGTGAAAAAGGACATCTTTAGCTGGAGTGAGACATTACACTTATAGTCTATTGTCATTGTTCTGCTGTTTTTTAGAAAAAGTATGATTTCTCTGACTCCCATATGTGAGCTTCATTCCATATACCTATTTATAATTTTGTTTAACCATCCTGGAAGTGCAAAATGTTTAACTTACTTCTAAACTGTTTTGAGAGTGAGTCTGGTACAAGGGTCCGGAAACGGTCATATATGCCAGACATGACCGATTTGGAAACTGAAAAGACCGAAATGATTTATTGGGATTTAGGTCTTTTTTTTTTTAATTTCGGTCATTTCATTGAGATCAGGGTTTTATCGGTCGCCATTTTGAACTTATTTTTGTTTTCAGGTCATCAAGAAAAATAGATTTGTTTGAGACAAAATAAAAATTTAATTGATTTGTGTTAGTGATTTAATAATATTTATCATTAGTCTGTTGTTTATTCTATAATGTAAGTGAAAACAATGTACAGGACTCTGTCGAGTCACAGCGTGGGGTAAGTCTGGGTTCAAGCCACTAGGTTTGTTTACATAGTAATTATCACCACTTGAGGATAGTAATCAATGTCCAGGAAGTTTGAATTCGGCTTGGGTGTCGTTATTGTCTTGATTAAAGCCATAAAGGCCATGTACACAAATCTCACCTGTAAACACCTGTTAACCAATAAAAACAATATGGCGATTTGCTGTGCATCAAATTTAACGTTTTAACCATTCTGACCTAGATTTTCCCAAACAGATATTATTTTATTCATTAAAGAAGACAAATAACACTGTTGACTCGAGAATCTGTCTATTTTTATCCAAATAAAACATATAATCCATTTATAATCGATCAGCTGATTTGGTCAACGTTTGTTAAATATAGATTTATGTTTACTGAGTTTGCGCATGAAAAATGGGGATCAACATGGGTTAATTGATAATCTTATTTAACTTTTCGGTAGGAAATGGCAGATAAAGATATTAATAGATTTGCAAAAGTGGTAAAGCCTATAATTTATAGGAATGCAGAATTAAAAACAAATGTTTAAAAAAGGAATTAAAACTAAATAACGTAATTTAGATTTGAAGCCATACAGCCTATTTAAGAAATATACTCAGCGAATGAACAATCTCGATTTTTTTTTGTTTTTTTTGCACTTCCGATTTTTTGAAACCATCTTACTCACAGAATGTAATGGGTGTTATCCTTTCTTTTGTTTTCCTGGCTATACTTCCGATTTTTACCCAAGTGAAGCCATACATTCTCTCTGTAAAGTCCAACAGAATTCATGGGCGTTTTTCTTTAATTGTTTCAAGGTTTTTTTTGCTGGTATAAAAGCTTTGAATATTAAATATAACTTCATAATAAGTTCCAACAATGAATAAGCGTAAAAGAGAGTCGTCAGATGAAAACCAGAAACCTGCCAAAAATGCCAGATCTTTCAATGCCAAATGGTTGCAGTTGTTCGCATGGCTTACCTTTGAAAGTTGAATCATAGTTTCCCCTTTTTGATCCTCATATCGTAAACCAGGTGAATACACATTATCTTATTGTGTATTAGGTAATCACTTACACTCATCCAAACAGCAGCAGTTTGAACAATACAAACGATATCTTGTACATGCAATAAGAAACTCAACACAGTTTATTAATTGGTTTACATAACTTTATTTCAAAATGATGAAACATGCCGTAATTATTCCTCTTTTAATTTATGCAAATTTAAAGGGTTATGCATACGACCTCAGTGATGCAATACACAACAACAAAACGTCTCCTTGTGTAGTTTCTAACTCAGAGACATCACTGTTACTGTTAGATCAAGGTACAGTTACACTTGTTTGACCCAATACTTCACAAAAAAGGACTTTACTTGTCCATGTGCAAGACTTGTCACCCTCAGAAAAATGCATTATTGTGCATCACGATATTATTACATCACAAAAAAAAATGACCGAAATGACTTGGGAAAATTTCCGGATCCTTGGTCTGGTATCTTTTATGAGTTTCTATTCAATACAAAAACTTGAATAATACTGTTAATTTAATATTCTTTAATATTCTTTTTTTAATAGATGACAATCGTACTACTTGGCAAGTTTCTGAAGGACTAGGATCTGTTGCATTTAATGAGAGAAAATATGATGAAGCAATAGAATTCTTCAAGAAAGCTCTGGGTGTACTAGCTGCTAGGGAAAGTAACATAACAGCACAGAACAGAATTGTAGAGAAACTAAAACAAGCATTAGAGGCTCAAATCAAAGACAAAGAAAGACCATTTGCTCACATAAGAAAAGAGGTAACCATATTTTGAATACTATTGATTCATTATTAATTGTGATATACCAATTTTTTTGGATTTTGTGGGTATTGGTGAACCACAAATTTAACTGTTCAACAAAATATAAATTTTCTATGGGCTTATATGCAGACTTTGTCAAAACCATGTAATCAAATATCCAAGAAAATACAATTTTTCTACCATCCATGGAAAATTGATACCCACGAAATTAACTGAATCCACATTATCAAGACACTTGTTCAAGTAAAACAGGGAAATAAAAAAGAGCAAAATAATAACATTTAGAGAACTATACAAAGCCAAATTACTTGGAACAAAGAAGACAAGTGTAAAAACAATACTAAAAATAAAAATGTTGGATAAATTCAGAAAGAATTATTAACGTTTGCATGGCTAATTTTCTGAGCTTTGTTTAAATGTTAAAGCTAGATACTGAATTTGATTAAAGTTGCAGCTGATGAATGGCTGTTTTACGTCGAGTTGCAAGTACAATGCATATTAAGGACGAGAACATGTTAATGTGATATAATTATGAACCCTGCATTGTTCTAGATTGACATGCTGAGTTGGATTTTTTTACCGTTCTAGTTCACAAGGTAACAGTATGCAGGAAGCCATGTTATCATACACAGACACATTATTCTACTCTTACTCCTAAATGCAGCATGCTTAGTGGAGATGCAGCAGATACCAATTTTTAAAATCTTTGGTTTGAAATTTGATTGAAGAAAAACTTAAATTCCTATATCATATTATATTCAGAGATGTGTTAAAGTGTTTCCTCAACTTCAATTATTTAAAAGTTCTAAATAAAGAGAGACTACTAGGAAATGGTAACTAATAATTATTTCTTTATATTTTTCAGGATGTAAACCCACTTAAATCTGGATATAAGAAGGTAATTTTAAGAGGATAGTTATTCAAAACTTATTCCTTAAAACAAAGTTTCAGAAGGGTCTTCAAGGCAATAGATTAAGATGATGATGAATGGCTGTTTATTGTCCAATAGTAGATTAAATGCATATTCAGGATGAAAACATGTGAATGTGATAAAAATATAAATATAAAAATAAGAAGATGTGGTATGATTGCAAATGAGACAACTCTCCACAAAAAACAAAATGATGTAAAAGTTAACATTTATAGGTCACCATACTGCCTTCAACAATGAGCAAAACCTGCTTTGTGCTATACCTACAGCCTGAGCAGAATTTTTAACATGCTGGTTCACTAGGTAACAGTCTGCAGGAAGATGTGCCATCCTACTTAGATACATTATTCTGACTCCTGGCTGACCAGCCTCGGTGACCAATCTCCAGGGAACAGAGTAACAGCATTGAGTGTCCATGGGTAACTATGCTTTGTCAGCATGGTGGTACAGACTAAGTGGCAAACTTGATCAAATTGTGTATGATTGTTCACTATAAGGAGAAAGGGACTTTTTTTTATCAGAGATAAAGCTGAGGTTAAGGCTTTTGGTCTAAATCTTTGGTCAATACCATACATATAAAACAAGCATGACCAATCTTCCTCAAACTTTGTTCTTCATACTCATTTTCAAGGTCAAAATCAAGCTGGGGTCATGGGTCAGCACACTACAGTACAATTTGTGCAGTTGTCATTAAAAAATCACTCGACTTTATCAACATGATGAGAAGATGAGTTTTATCCATTTATAAGGTTCTTTATCAAGGATCAAATTTAGAACTATGTGGAAATGATAGCATTTAAGCATACCTGTTCTATTAGTCTTAATCAAACTGGCATTGAGACCAAAACCAATCTTGTATTTGAGTCAAGAGATGAAAAAATAATATATCAATGCATGAATCCATAAAACAACAATTCCATATAATATACCTGTCTAATGTTGCCAGCTAAATATCTTTTTTTGTGTTGTTGGGTGGCTGTCTCATCTAGGTTTACTCCACATTTCCTTTATTCATATTTTAATTATGAAGGTGGATATAAAAATAAGAAGATGTGGTATGATTGCCAATGAGACAACACTCCACAAGAGACCAAATGACACAGAAATTAACAACAATAGGTCACCATACGGCCTTCAGCAATGAGTAAAACCCATACCATAGTTCACTTTGCTGTAAACTTGTTTGACTTTATGGCAGTAATCACTAATTTTATTAAGAGTCAAATTCTGGTGACTTAGTTTACCCAAATATTTCAAAAATAACCGACTAGGGAGAATTTCTGACAAAAAGCTCCCCACACCATTAAAAGTATGCTTAATGTTTTGATGTAGATTTAGAAACCTGCTTTTTAATGAGAACTACTCTCATATAAGGATCAGGATGAAAACAAATAAAATCATAAAACAAAAGAACCAATGATATATTTAATTTTTGTTTTTTTTAAATGCATTTCTTGCTATATTTAAATTTATAACACTAAATACTTAACAGTGAAGCTATGTTTTCCCAAGGTAATGCAAGGTTCAATTGTTACCGGACAGTTGTACAACCAAAGGCCTTGAATTAATTTCATAACTGCATTCAGATTGGACAATTTGGTTTATCCTAGCAGAAGGGAAAAAAAATAGTTGTAGTTCATGATTTAGGCAATGAGTATTTTGCTTGACCCATAGATATATATATATTATGTCCTCTATTATTGAAGGTTAAGACTAGACTAAGATCAATTAAAACACTTGTTACCTATACCCTTCAATCCAGTCAATAGTGTATGCTATTCATTATAATATTGATTCTATTTTTTGTAAATATTATATTCAGAGTTTAGCTGAAAAACCAACCAGACCCACATCTGCAAAACCAGTTGCTGTAGGAGGCCGTGTGGCAGACAGAAATAATACAGATGAAGTTCAGAGGAGGTAACATTAACTTGTCTAACTTTTTTCTTCAACATCAGTGTGAAACAGAGTATTTGCAAAGTCGTCACTTGCTATACATTTCTTATTTTTATGCAGTTGAAAATAAGAAGGCATTTTAATTTTGATTTATTTCAAACTATATCATGAAAAAGGAAATAAAAAATTAAAACAAATATAAGAATAGAAATGTAAGAGATATATGAACATGAGACAACATCTTATATACTACAACAAACAACCAAATCACAAAGTTTCTGTATTGTTATGATCAATGTCAATATTCTCTTACCACAAAGCAAGATTTAATTGCCTTTCAGTCAAAATTCAAAAGGCCGAAAGAAATTGCATGAGCATAAATTTCATCTCAGATGGATACAATTACAAAAATCAAAAACATAGAAAGAAAACAGTACAAATGGAGAAGCACTTTCTGTAAATTCAGAAATTTGCACAATGTTTTATTATTGTTAAAACTGTGAATTAGTAGGTATTGCACAATAAAAATTCTTTTAAATTTTGATGGCATTATTTCTATGCAGTATTTATTAAAATCGCAATAATGAATCTTGCATTTTTGAAAATTCTTCATTTCAGAAATCGCGATAATAAATATACTTAACAAATTTCAGTACATAATTTGGAGAGGTTTACTATTAAATAAAGAAAAAAGTTCTATTACTTAAGCAAGAGGCCAATTTATATCATTATATTCATTTTGGAAAAAAAATAAAAATATCATTGTTAGAATTTAAGAATTATTATTTTTGCAGTATTTTAGGATAGATTAAAGATGACTGTTATCATAACGACTCCTTTCTCCAGAAAAGAAATGCTATTTTTCCAATTTAATTCAAATTTTTGGAATAGAGAATACAAGCAAATTTTTATTACTGATTTGATCATACTTAGCTTGCAAATATCAGACACATATGGTGTTTCCTTGCAATAGATAAGATTTGTACTCATAATAACATATTAAAAAAATTGTTTACCTTTACTTTACTTTTGAACAGACCAAAAATGAGGAAAAAGTAAGATTTTTTGTTTTGTTTTCTGTGATGGTTGTGATTAATTATAAGCTAGTATGCAAACAAACAAACTTGTACCTGTATATCAAACTCGGAGTTTAAGGTTGATTTAAAAGTTCTTATTTTCTTTATTTCAAATGTAAGAACTGATTTGTTTGCAGTCATTTTTTAAGTTATCTCCCCCTAATGTCTTATTTGAGCAACAGTTATCTTCCTTGTTCAGATTACATCTATAATAATGGTACATTTCTCAATTACAAAATCAAAGAATGATAAAAACATGATAATGATAAATAATAGATGTAATTGTGATAAAGTTTAGCATTGTTATGATTTAGGTATCATTCAACAAGGTATGGTTCACATCAGAAATTTTAAGACTCCTTGTTCTGAGAGGTCCGGATCCTATTGTTAAATTTTTCTTCTATCATATGGTTTTATATCGAGGTACCAGTGGGCAAAAAAATATACTACCATTTAATTTTCTGATGTTAGTAGTCTTTTCTGTTAAATTACCTCTCAGATCAAGATTGCTACCTCAGTTCAGCATGACTCCTTTAGAAATAGTTCAATGCATTTATAGAAATAAAAAAATTTGATCAGTACATTTTTGTCGAGCCTGCGACTTTTGTCGCAGAAAGCTCGACATAGGGATAGTGATCCGGCGGCGGCAGCGTTAGCTAACTTCTTAAAAGCTTTATATTTTAGAAGGTGGAAGGTCTGGATGCTTCATACTTTGTATATGGATGCCTCATGTTACGAAGTTTCTGTCAGTCACATGTCCAATGTCCTTGACCTCATTTTCATGGTTCAGTGACTACTTGAAAAAAAAGTTCAGATTTTTTGTAATGTTAGATTCTCTCTTATTATAAGTAATAGGATAACTCTATTTGGTATGTGCGTACCTTGCAAGGTCCTCATGCCCGTCAGACAGTTTTCACTTGACCTCGACCTCATTTCATGGATCAGTGAACAAGGTTAAGTTTTGGTGGTCAAGTCCATATCTCAGATACTATAAGCAATAGGTCTAGTATATTCGGTGTATGGAAGGACTGTAAGGTGTACATGTCCAACTGGCAGGTGTCATCTGACCTTGACCTCATTTTCATGGTTCAGTGGTTATAGTTAAGTTTTTGTGTTTTGGTCTGTTTTTCCTATACTGTATGCCATAGGTCTACTATATTTGGTGTATGGAATGATTGTAAGGTGTACATGTCTAGCGGGCAGGTGTCATCTAACCTTGACCTCATTTTCATGGTTCAGTGGTCAAAGTTAAGTTTTTGAGTTTTGGTCTTTTTTTCTAATACTATATGCAATAGTTCAACTATATTTGGTATGTGCGTACCTTGCAAGGTCCTCATGCCCGTCAGACAGTTTTCACTTGACCTCAACCTCATTTCATGGATTAGTGAACAAGGTTAAGTTTTGGTGGTCAAGTCCATATCTCAGATACTATAAGCAATAGGTCTAGTATATTCGGTGTATGGAAGGACTGTAAGGTGTACATGTCCAACTGGCAGGTGTCATCTGACCTTGACCTCATTTTCATGGTTCAGTGGTTATAGTTAAGTTTTTGTGTTTTGGTCTGTTTTTCTTATACTGTATGCAATAGGTCTACTATAGTTGGTGTATGGAATGATTGTAAGGTGTACATGTCTAGCGGGCAGGTGTCATCTGACCTTGACCTCATTTTCATGGTTCAGTGGTCAAAGTTAAGTTTTTGAGTTTTGGTCTTTTTTTCTAATACTATATGCAAAAGTTCAACTATATTTGGTGTATGGAAATATTTTATGATCTATTTGTCAGTCACACAGTTTTTTTTTTACCTTGACCTCATTTTCAAGGTTCATTGCTCAGTGTTAAGTTTTTGTGTTTTGGTCTGTTTTTCTTAAACTAAAAGCAATAGATCAACTATATTTGTTGTTTGGAAGAATTGTTAGCTGTTCATGCCTGCCTAGCATGGTTCATCTGACCTTGACCTCATTTTCATGGTTCATTGGTCAATGTTTAGTTAACTTGGTTAATAATAAGTTTATGTGACAGTTGTAATAAAGCTTTATATTTAGGACTATCAACATAATATCAATGATAAGTAAAGAAGGCGAGACATTTCAGTGTGTGCACTCTTGTTTTTTATGTACTTGCAAATCCTCACAAATGTTTTAAGTTGTAATCTTGCTTTCGCATAAAAGATGCAGAGTGATTTGCATGGAGACGGGCACTACACTACATGTGGAGGTCAAGGGGAAAAGCTTTTAAAATTTTGTATAGAGTTCAAGATTAATTCATTAATAGAATATAGTCAAATCTGGTTCTGTAAAATTTGCAGGAAAAATCAGTAAACGGTACTGATATGTACAAAAATTTTAGTTTATATTACAATGTAGTAGTAAATTGGTTAGGTACAATTGTAATTTGCAAGTTTAAGCCAAGTTAACTGTTTTGAAACTGTTTCGTCTTCTGTAATAGGTTTTTGTCATTTTGAAACATTAAATATTAAAATAATCAAATAATTTTTTGATGACACATACAATTTTTTGATTTCATCTAATTAATCTGATAAAATGTGTTGCATGATTTGTTTCAAATCCTTCAGCATCACAGTCCTTGAACGACCTTTTCCCAGATGTCAAGACCCTTCAAAACTGACAAATTTTGTAATGCAAAATGAATGTCTTTCACCTTTTTATACGCCCATTTATGGGAGTATTATGGTATACCGTTGTCGTCAAAATGTCGTACAATAACTCACAAACGCTTTAACCAATTAGTATGAAACTTTGGTGAATTGTTTATATCTATTGACGTGAGCTCCTTTTTGATTTTTATAAATTTTAGATTAACGTTTCCGAGTTATGGGGTTTTATTCATTAAAAACGGGGGATTTTCCAGTTTTAAGACAATAACTCAAAAACACTTATCATTTTCAAGAAACTTTGGTGAATTGTTTATATCTATTGATGTGAGCTCCTTTTTGATTTTTATGAATTTTTAGATTTTACGTTTCCGAGTTATGGGGTTTTATTCATTAAAAAAGGGGGATTTTCCAGTTTTCGGACAATAACTCAAAAATGCTTTGAGCAGTTTTCATGTAACTTTTGAGAATTGTTTATATCTATTGATGTAAGCTCCCTTGCGATTTTAGATTTTACTTTTCCGAGTTTTGGGATTTTATTTATAAAAAAGGGGTGATTTTTCAATTATCGGACAAAAACTCAAAAGTGCTTTGAGTAGTTTTTATGAAACTTTGGTGACTGGTTTATATCTATTAAAATAACCTCCCTTTAGTTTTTTATAAATTTCTGATATGACATTGAGGAGTTATGGAACTTTGTTCTTTGAAAAAGCGACGGGCGTATCAGGCGCTCATGGCACAGCTCTTTATTAAATCTTATAGAGCAATTAATAGAAATGTTATACTGTGGAATCATATATTTTTGTGAGTGCCAATTTCCTTGGATGGAGGAAAATTGTATTTTGTGGATATTTGACTCTGTTGTTTTGCAAAAGTTTGCTTGCAAGCCTAGATAGAAAATTTATACTTTGTTGATCATTTAAATTTGTGGTTTAATGATACCCACACAATCCACAAAAATGAGTACCCCACGAATAATAACGAACCCACAGTACCTCAATTTTTTTCATGACTCACAGAAGACAGTACAGAACTTCAGTCCACAATGTTTCATATTTAAGGGATTTTTTAATAGTTTGCTTTGTCATCTTGAAATACAACTTATTTTCATTGAAAAACACAACTATATTTAGACTTGTAACTTTGATGGTTTTCTACAGTCAACAATGTTTTAATAAACGATTAAATTTTATATGAAAATTTAGGTGATAAGCTTATACATCAAAGCAGATTGAGTAATACTAATCATAGAGTTTATCTTAGAGAGCATGATTTTAATTAATTCAGTGTAGATGCTGTATGAAAATGATATTTACAATATTTTGTTGCATAGTCTTAGAGAGCTTGTTTTAAATTAAAGTGGTAAATATGCTGTTTGGAAATGATAATTACAATATCTTTTTGCTAAAATGGATTTGCAACTAATTTTTGACCAGCTGTAATGATATGAACATTAAAAAGTGGTATGATTGCCAATAAAACAACTATATATCCACCAAGAGACCAAAGGATAGGTATGCATGTTTAAGGTTGGACCTTATAAACTATTAACCTATGAAATATAACACTCTTGAACTTTTTTCTGAAACAACACAAATGTATACCTGCATGTAAAATAACTGTAGACACGCTATTCTCCAAACAGAATTTTTTTCTTAAAATTTGTAAGCATGAAATAACTGAATTGATAGAACTTTTAAAATGACAATCATTTACATTATAAATTGTATTATCATATCCTGCTTGTATATTTTGCATGAAAGCAATTAAATGATTATTAATTTGATGCTTAACATTTGATGCAGATCAGAGATTTAGACCCACATGTTTTAAATAAAACAAACACAAAGTATGTCCTGTATGTGAAATATATTTGTTCTATAACAAGGATCTGAAAATGCTCTGTCTTTTTTGAGGACCCTTTGAGGATAGAGTTTTCAGGTATTGAAAAACACTCAATAAACATTTGGGAGAAGAAATTTCATTGATTGACATATTAGTTAGCAGGACTGAAAGTAGAACTGTATTGTCAAATCCTTGTAAGCAAAGGGTGGACACATGATCTATATTTTAATCTGAATAATTCTAAGACTTTGGTAATAGAAATTGTCTTTTATTACTATGTGTCAACTACAAAGTAAATGATGTTATTTCTGTTCACAAGGACAGATTTTAAATTTTATATTTATCTTAAATTAAGTGTGCTTTATGCAAGGCGGAAACTTAGGCCAAGTACTGAGAAATAATAAACGATTAACTTTTCCACCACAAGTCAATACCCACTGCTAAGTCAGCAATGAAGGGCATGTTAGTTGTTAGTGCATACCTCCATCCAGATTGTATATGCCCCAGCAATTCCATTTTTATTGTAATCACCAAACCTGCCATAACAAACACCTGAATACTTTAATCAATTTATCAGTCGTCTGCTTATAAAAATATTAAAACATATGATGAAAACATTAACGTAAAATATTTTACTCTTTATAAAATTTCAGAAGACATCCAGAGTAAGTGTCTGTAGTCTAGATATCCCATATTTTCCGTCTTTATATAAACTCCCCTTTTTTAACATTTTTCTGTGTACAGTTCCAGCACATTATCCTATTTTTAGCTCACATGGACCAAAGGTTATCACTAGGCATCCATTGTCATTATTGGTAAACATAATCATAAACTTTTTTTTAAATACATTTCCTTTTACAAATTTCAAGCAAACTTGGGCTGAAAGTTTCTTTGGTATTTATATAAAAATTTTTTATGTTCCTGCAAATAAACAAACATGCCACCATGGCTATAAATAAAAGGATAAAATGCATGCATTACTAGTATCTAACATCTTGAAAACCATTAATCTACCATAATAGATAGAAGAAATCTGACATGCCAAGAATAAAAGATCTACCTATTTTTAATCCTAAACATTTTCAAACAAAATTTTCAGACAAAGTTCTTCATTATAGGAATTTTAACCCTTAAAATGGCAATTTTTCCTTTTTTCATGGTATGGAGGGCGGTTTGATATTGGGAGGGGGTTTAGGGCTTTAATTCAATTGAATGGCTTTCAATTTATTTGAATGCACTTGAAAAGCTATATATTTGAAAATAAATGATTTCTTTCTGGAAGTTTTTTTTTATTTTGATAAAAGTGAAATTATATCCTTAAAGTGCATATTTTTGATAGGTGAGTGATTTGGTCTCTCAGTGGTTCCTAGTTTTATTACTAAGATTTTTTGTAATTTTTTTTTAGTCATGATGAGTTTGGGCATTATGTTACGCTTTGTCTTTAGTTAGAATGAATCAATGCTTAGAATCATTTATAATCTAAGATGGTAACTGCATGCACTGCTGTAAAAATATTCACCATTAGTGTTCTTTGGCAACAATTGAATACAAATTCATGCACTATCAATTATTCTATTATGTTAAACAAAATGGTTTTTATGAATATATGAAGAGGTATTAGTGCAATTAATTAGTAAATGTTGTGTGCATTTGTAATGATTTTGCAAAGATCATGTTGAATACTACAGTAAAGTTAGGCCTTGGATAGATCAATCTTTTTTCTATTAAACTTTTTTAACTTATTAAGTTCTATGCATTAGTAAATGGATGTTGGCTGGCACCAAATTCTTGGTTTTAAAGTTTTAACCTTCTTTTAACATTTCTGTTTACCTTATAAATTATAATTATAGGAATATCTAGATATGTTTCAAACATATATAAAACTGGCTATAAATCTCTTGCTGCTATGTAAATGTCGCTTTCAGTAATGTGACATGTGACATTCATAACTAAAATAGATTTTGCAGGATATTTAAAGACGTGGTAATCTAAGAACAAATTTTTTTTATTTGAGAACTTTCACAAAATTTTCTTCTTTACTGATTATTTTGAAAGCTAATTTGGTAATTTGTGTTGGTAATTCATTATCTAATGCAAAGATGACAGTGTGTCCACTCTTGTTTGTTTTATAGATTTGTTCGTGTTAATAAGTCGGGTACGTCAAAGAGGTTCAGTAAAGTAGCCCGAGGGTTGTCTGACATGATGGAACCATTTGAACTAACACCTAGATCTGGTAGTGGCCTACAAGGAGAGACAATGATGCCAGTCCAGTCACAGTCAGAAGATTCTTCGGAGGAGGAAACTGAAAGTGATGAAAACAAGTAGGTTTTGGGTGATTATTTTTCTAGAAAAGAAAATCAAGAAAACTGTTTTTTTTAATTGTCTTGATTTCGGGGTAGACACATAGGGTTCACCTGACTATTTAGTTGCTAAACTATACTTCAAAAATTAAATTCTGAATTAGCTTCTGTGTTTTATCAAAAGTAAATCCTGGACATTTTCAACTGTTGAGACACAGTATTTGCAGGTAAAGTCTGTATAAGTCATTACTGTAAGTCATATTTTACAATTTTATTCCATACTGATTGACGTAGGGGGGGTGTCATCCTGAAATCCCAGAAAAATGTTAAAATACCGTGAATTATCTATTTTCCTGGATATTTGATTTCGATGTTTTGCCAAAGTCTCCACACAGACCAGTAAAAATGTGTACTTCGTTGAAAATTTTAATTTGTGGTTAACCTTTACCAGCAACATAAAAAGAAAATTGGTATCCCAGGAATAATAATGAAACCACTAGAATATATATAGAATAATGGCAGTTTTGTTTTTGATACTAACTTGATCGGCAAGAATATCAAGCAAGCCCAATATTCGAGCTGATTAAGTCAGTATAAAAAAATAGAATGCCATTATTTTTTTATCGGCAATTTTGTGTTTACAATAAGTTTTGTCTCGCCTGCTACAAAAGTTGCAGTTTGCGAGACATAGGGATTACTATTCGGCAGTGGCTAGTGTTTTTCAAGTACTATTAGCAATAGGTAAACTATATTTGGTGTATAGAATGATTGTAGGGTGTTCATAAATAAAGGCAACAGTAGTATACCGGTGTTCAAAAGTCATAAATAGATTGAGAGAAAACAAATATGGGTTACAAGGTAAAACCGAGGGAAACACATCAACTTAAGAGGAAAACAAAGGAAAAACAGGAACACTGAAGTGCAACAAAAACAGACGCCAACATACATAGAAACGAATTATTTGATAACAACTGCCATATTTCTGACTTGGTACAGGACATTTTAAGAAAAAATGGTGGGTTGAACCTGGTTTTATGGCTAGCCAAACCTTTCGCTCATATGACAATGTTAAAAAATATCGCTAAAATGACAACACTACGTGACAGAAATACAGCACAAACACACGCAAGAACACTTATCACAGAGAAACACACAAACAAATAATATAAAAGTTGACACAACATGCAAACCGCAGAACAACAACGAACATCTTCCATCAACAACAGACACCACAGGACATCACAAACAGTGACACACTTATGTATCAAACATGCAATCTCGAACTTTATACAATTATTTTCACAATGTCTGTCTAACCAGTATCATCTGACCTTGACCTCATTTTCATGGTCCATTGGTCAATGTTAAGTTTTTGTGTTTTGGTTTGTTTTTCAAATGTTAATAGCAATTGGTCAGCTTTATTTGGTGTAAGGAATAATTGTAAGGTGTACATGTCTATCTGGCAGGTATCATATGACCTTGACCTTTTTGTCATGGATCTTTAAAAATGTTGAAGTTTATGTGATACTTATAGTTAAACCTTTATCTTTTATACTTTCAACATAAATTCAATGGTCAGTAGAACAGGCGAGGCGTTTCAGCTTGTGCACTCTTGTTTGTTTGATAAGATGAAATAGATGAAATAGTAGGTAAATCAATTTGTATTCATCGAAAACGTTGTGATAGTTGTTCTGTTGTATGAATGAAATTGCTTGCATTTCATTGATAAATTGACGCAAATGGACATGAATGTGTGACCTTGCTGCACTGTTACATGACACATTAAGAACACATTAATTGTTTACTTTAAATGATTGTCATGAGTTATGTGTTTGTAATTCTTTTATAGAAAGAAACAAGACAAAAGAACTAATAAAGTTGTGTATGTATTGGTTTGTCTTGCTAGTTCAATTTGTTGCAGATCTGTTGTAAAAATTGTCCTGCATTGATTCCATGTTGTTATTTCATCAAACCCTTTTCCTGTTTTACAGTCACCTGTGTATCATTTTAAATCAGATTTACCTTTCTGTCCATCTTGTACATGAGTTTTCACGTTGATTGTTTAAAGGCACTGAAAAAAACAAAAATACATCTTTATTATCAACTAAACATGAGTTATCTGACATGGGACTATATCGATAAACATTTATCTAGAATTAAAAAGTTAGAATTTTATGCTCAGGATTAATCTCATGATTAATTAGAAATGTTATTATTTTATACCAAAATTAAATTTAAGCATTTTATTGATTGATTGGTGTTTGCTTTGTGCTGCATCAGCGTAAAAAGGTTATATGGTGCGAGAGGTCATCCAAATATTTGAACAAAAGGTAGTATTAAAATTATACAAAAGGTTGTTCAAAAATCAAAATACTAAGATTTCTGTCTATAGAGAAATTATTTATTTACAAATAATTTCAATAATAACATAACATGATGAAAACTAAATCATTTTAAAATGATACTTCAGCATTTCAAAGGTACTTAAATTATCTGTTAGTTACATGTACAGTGATTTGTCCTTTTGATTGTAGTGCCAGTGTTACTGGAAGAAACTTATTTGTTCATGTGTGAGCTAATATCATCACTCAGCACTTGTCTTCCACCCTTTTACAGTGTCTGTGATGCTTTAAAAAAAATCTGCTCCCCTGAAGCCACTGTTCCAAATTGAATTCAACTTTATTACAATTTTCACCATCTCTAGTTTCAGAATTCTGTCTGATTGAAGCCGTCCAACCAAAATGACTGCCTTAAGTTTTGAACAGTTAAGAAAAAAATAAAAAATCCCGCTTCCAAACTAAGATGAAATGCATTGGATTTCCATTAAGATTGATAGTGGGTGACCCTCAGTCATCAATCATGGCACCCACTGATACTAAAAATAGAAAATTTGTCAAAAAACATCTGTTAAAATATTATTAAACCTGTAGCTCCCAGACTGATGATACATTTATGAACCCATTTTAGAAAATATGGTTGAGGACCCAAACAGCTATCAAATATGGTTGCCACCATTTATACCTAAAAGAAAAAAAATTTACTCCAAAAAGATACAGAATTCTATTTTTTGGGCCGGTTTTGACAAAGTCCAAAACCAGCTTATAGTATGGTGATGTCGGGCGGGCTGGGAAAAGTGTGTACCTAGATTGTGTAATCAACTCCTCTTACAGTTTCAGCCTAGATCCCTGAAACTTCACAGGAAGATTGCACATATGCTGAAGTTGTGCACCTGCTATTATGGAATTGTTTGAGGAATTTTTTCTCATTTTTCCAGACTTGGAAACTTAGTCAATTGTCAGCAAAATTTATGAAAGAGGGTACAAGTTTTGTGTAATCAACTCCTCCTACAGTTTTCAATCCAGACCCCTGAAACTTCACAGCAAGATTGCATGTATGTTGAAGTTGTGCATCTGCTACTATGGAATTGTTTGAGGAATTTTTTTTCTCATTTTTCCAGACTAAGGAACTTAGTCATTCTTCAAATATTTAAATGTTCAGTATAGAGCATTCTCCATTGTTTATGAAACATTCTGTGCAACTCAACCATTTAAGTCATTGATCTATTTTTAAAATTCTGTAAAAGGCCAGTTGTTACCATTCTTTTGGGTAAATGACAGATTTTTTGTGATCCTATATAATATATTTGGTTAACAACTCTCATTACCAGGGCCATCACTGTTTCAGCAATTTTTTAAAAGTATAAATGAAAAATTAAAATCAAAACTGTATTTTTCCTTATGAAAATGTTTGACATGTTTATCTACTTTCTCCTTGAAGCATGGTATAGTGAAACTTTTCAGAAATCATTTTTGCTTATCACATATTTTTGCATTCCCATAATTATTTTAGCTAGTATGAAATAATGCCATATTATATAGTTTTTTTTAGCTCATCCAACTCTTTTGAGGATATATTAGATATTGTCATCACATTTTGCATTAAAGTTATATAGGGCTCTGTTGTCTAAGATTTTCCTATTTATGCAATGTACTCTCTTTGAAATTGAATGTAAATTTTTGGTTCTTTATCCTTAGTACTATCCATGCATGATTCTGGTTACATTTTTTAGAATCACAAAAGGCTACAGTAATTTTAGTCCTCTGCTTTGTTATAAAAATGCTATGCTGAAAAACTTAGTGAGAAGCATACACATATTTAACCTTTATATTTACTGATCAAAAATTAAAATTTTCATCATACAAGGCAAGGTCCACTGTGCCAAAGGTGGATAAGCTGAAAAGGGAAGTTGTTAATAGCAGAAGTGTATTTATGAAGAATTGAAGTACAGTGTAAAATTGTTTTTGAATTTATCTTAGTTTGTACCAATAGATATTAACATTGTAAGAACTTTTTATATCCCTGCTCTAACGGAGGTGTGTATACTGGTTGTCCTCTGTCTGTCCATCTGCCTGTCTATAGTACATTTTTGTGGCATTTTTTCACAGCTACTTAGTATATAATACAGAGCTTCATTTGTTTATGCCATACTATGTGACATATTTTCAGTTCCTATGATGGTCTTTTTTATTTTTGCCCAAAACTTGTATTTTTAAAATGTTATGCATTTTTGTTACATTTTCCCAGCAAAACAAGTGATAGCTTCTTGATATATGGCACCAAGCTTCGTCTGGTTATGCCATACTGTATATCACATTTTCTGATCCTTCAATATTTTCCTTCCTGTTTGCCAAAAATTGTAGCTTGAACAGACATATAATTAGTGAGCAATAACTCACATTATTGTTATTAAAAAGACTGCATTCTGTATATATATATATGTCACCAAGAGCCAGTGCACGTCGAGTTTAAGGGGGACTATCGAACATGCACAACCCAAGGGACAGGAGGTCAGTCTTTCGCAAGACTTGAGCGATGGCAGGCAAAACTATAAAGCAAGCAGCAAGTTGTAACAGTTTTATATAATAACAGATCTAAATGTTGATAATAATTCCAAAACAATAAACAAACAATCAAAATCTAAATGTTCTAAATTATAAAGTCACTAATCCAAAATCACAGTT